CTTTCCGAACACACACACACAGACAGCCTCTCGACAATATGCGTTTTTGCTGGCTGTAGCAGCGCCCCAAAACTCCAAACACAGCTTGTTTCTTGAAAGCCTTTTTTCCAGAAAAAGGCTTTCAAGAAACAAGCTGTGTTTGGGGTTTTGGTTATTTTTTCCTTTATTTTATATAAACGCAGAACGCTGCTATAGCGCTGCACAGCAAAACGCATAAAAAAAGAAAAAAACTGTATGTCTGTTCTGCGCTTATCTAAAATGGCCAAACACAGCTTGTTTCTTGAAAGCCTTTTTTGGAGATCAAGAAAATCAAGCTCGGCAGGGCTATCAGTGTAAGTATCCCAAGTTATTGTTGCTGGAATTTTCTCGTACGCCAGGTGCACCTACACAAAAATGTTTTAATTAGGTGTATAAATTGTTAGTAGCATTACAGTAAGAACTGAACCCACCATAGCAGATAATGTAAGTGTATAATTTTGCTGCTGTTCGTAATCCAAACCGACCATATTTCGTACCACAACCCAGTCACGGCCATCAGTTTTTTCCAAAAATTCCCGAAAATGTTTTTCATTATTGGTACCACGGCTAGCTCCATTTGCCATTCTGCAAAAAAAGCACTTAGTGTTTGGGGTTTTGGTTATTTTGGTTGGCAACGAAAAATGGTTGGCAACTTTAAACGGTGAGTAACTGGAATCTAAAACAGTGACCACTTATCTGAATTTTTATAAAAACTTGAGAAATTCAAGATGCTAATATTAATAAAAGTTTCTCTCACGAAACCGGCCACGTAAAGGAATTGATTTTCAAGAGCAAATTAAATGCAACTCATAAAATGACTAACTTGTATGAAATTGGACTCCTGGAACCATCACCAGGAATTGCTAAACAACGCAGTAACACAGAATTGATCTGAAATCAATAACCCGTGCGACGTTTGAGCCTTTTAATATTTTTTCCGAGAATCATTTTCTACAGCTTTATTTTTAAATCTCAACATTAACAAGACCAAGCTGTGCGCCTTTCCCTCTTGAGAAGCTCTGTCTGGAGTTCAACGTAATTATTTTTGCTCTTTTTTGAAGCTATGCAATTGATAACTTTTCTAGTTTCTTTAACCGATACCGGTTCGCCTAATGGTCAATCTTTTGGCGAACCTAACGTACGTTACGCCTCCTGAAGTGCTTGCTAGCTTACTAATTTCTCCAAGACAGGCGCTAGATGAAAACGGTACTAACGCTACTGAACAGCTAATCCAGAACTTGATTCTTACCAACATGCCTTTTAAAATTTCCTGCATTTCAATGGGGCGACTGTAAACTGTAAGTTGAACTCAAGCAACCGAGTGGCAAGTCGTAGAGAACTAAGGTTTCCTTTATTTTGAATATCTTTTTTTTCATATCTTTATTTTGAATATGTAAATCCCGCATGGGGATTTTGATGCCAAAATAGCCCTACCGGAATGTCCTCGTCCACTGTAACCACTGTCTTGCATTCACCGTTAGTTTGCCATTGCGGAGCGCTTTGTTGTTTTTCGTGTACGTTTACAACCACTTGTACCGTACTTCGCTGCGAAACAGGTTTCCCGTTATCATCAGCAATCACGTTGAATATGAAACGATCTTTCTAAAAAATTTTAAGAAAGTAAATGAAAAACTGCCAAGCCGGGAATCATTGGATAAATGGAAAAAAAACCAAAAAATAAGTATTCGAAAGAGTTTCAAATATAGCAAAGAATAACCAGTTTTTTTTATTAGCTTGGAAAATGAAAATTATTATTTTGATTTTCAAAAAAATCCGTAATGTTCTCAGGTTTTCCTGAAGATTCGTCAAAAAAAAAAAAAATTACGTGCGAAGGGATTTGATTGACGAGTGTTATTTCGCCGCTATTTTCATTGATAATCCGGAAGAAGCTCGCGTCTTTACGGTGCTCCTTTCCAGCTGATGCATCCTCAGACAGTGAATAAGTAATGCGAGCGTTCTGTGGAGCATCCGCATCATCCGCGAAAACTGTCACCACTGAGTAACTACAAAATTATATAAGTTTACCGCGATTTTCACACCGCGATTTTTACATTCTTGGAAAACAGAGTTTATTTTTCTCACTTTGAGCTGAAAAAAAGGAAATGGCTGAAATTTTGTGGCAAACAAAATTTCGCCATTCATATTTTTTGCGAAAAATGTTTTTTTTTTAAAATAGTAGAAAATTCAACATCACGGCGCAAAAAATGCAAGAAATCAGTACCCAGCAGCAACACTTCTTGAAATCGATGTTTCATAAGATGCTCGATCAAATTGTGGCGCATTATCGTTTACATCCAGTACTTGCACCGTAAATTGACAAAAACCAATT